TTTCTTTAATATGTTTTTGTTTTTTACTATAGGGTGTGTAAACTCACCAGAGAAAGAGGGAGAGGGAAAATGAGACATTACCCCTCAGGGGGTCTGGTCATGCTTTTATCCCTTCTTATATATTCTCTTGGGATTTCAGGCATGCACCACAAACCCAGTGTGTTTTTCAAACTACTAAGTTCAGGACTTGAAATGCACAGTTGGACATGTGGTATCTAGTTACTTTAACTTTCATGCCATTTGTCAGCCTTCCTTAATAAGATTTTTACCCTTTATCTTTCCACTCTCCTTCCTAAACGCTGTTGACTCAAACATTTGTTTTTCTGATACTGTCTCATAAGTTCAATAATCTTTATTTCTTTTTATTCAATTTTTCTCATCTGATTGTATATTTTCAAATAATCTGCCCTATAGTTTGTTATTTCTTTTGCTTGATTAGACTCTAGTCATGCCATTTTTCAGCTCCAGGATTATCATTTAGATTTATTTTTTATCTTTCTTTCCTTTTTTGATTATTTATTTTCTTGATTTCCTTGTATCATTTCTCTGTATTTTCTTGAAGTTTGCAGAGCTTATTTATAACAGTCATTTTGAATTCTTCACTAGTCAGTAAGTATATCTCTATTTTAAGTCAGTTCCTAGAATACTATTATGTATTTTTGGTGATATTATATCTCCTTAGTTTTCATGTTTTTCTTTCTTATTTTTCTTAAGAGGCTTTTGTCTTAGGATATGTGCATTTCCCAGAGAAAGAGACATGGAGATAATTAGAGGGAAAGTGAAAAATTACCCCCCAAAGCAGAGGCCATGATGCAATCTCTTCTCCATTTTTTGTCCAAAATCTTGGTATTCATGCAAACCCATCTGTCGTGATATTCAAAGCATTGGGTCTGGGACTAGAATAACGGTTGGCCATGTGAGAGTACAATGACAACCACTATGCCATCTGCTGGCCTCAGTCTTCATGTTTTTCTTACCTTACATCTGTGCATTTGAAGAAATACTTATTCCAGTCTTTGCACATTGGCTTTATCTGTGAGTTCCCTTTATTATTGAGCTCATCCAGACATTCTGGTCAGGAAGTTGCTGGAGTCCTAAGAAAAGCTGGCTGTGTCATCAGGTGTCTGGGCCTGTCAGCACAGTCGTCAGGATTGGACCTGGAGGCTAAATTCAGCACGGTGGATATTCTGATTAAGTGTTTGAAGACTGGTCTATAACCTATGTCCAGGTGATTAGCAAGGGGTGGCACTTAAGCTTGAGTCTACACAGGCAGCAAAGTATTGAACTGATTCTTGTCCACTGTGACAGCCCTTCAGCTTCAGTCTCAGGGGAGGTGTTTGGTTCCTGTATCAATAGGGGCATACTTGGAGTCTGGATCTGTTGAAGCTGTCTTGGTGACTGGCATTACAGAGGTTTACCTGGAACTTGAAGCTGTTGGAACTGGCCTGATGACTAGTCATTAAGCCAGCATGTATACTGGGTTTATGTGCATGAGGGAAGCAAGGTCTAGGGACCACAGAAATGGCCCCAGAACCTGAGTTCATGGTTATTGGTCCACTACAAAATTCTAGCCTGAACTCTGAATCTGAAAGTATGGGGCCCACAGGGGCCAGCCAGGAGGATACAGCCTCGAAGACTGACCTTGCATTTGGCAGAACTGGATCCTATACCTACGGGAGCAGGCTTGGTGTTGGATGCCAAGAGTATTGATATGGCATGGAAATGGGTCTTTAGCCTGGGGCTGTGTGTGTCAGTGTGTGCTGGACTAGTGATTAGCTTCTTGGACCATTCTGGAGCCTGGAGTCAGTGTAGCTGGCCCAGTGCTGAGGATAACCTGGAGCCTAGATACACCAAGATTGGCCTGGCAATCGGGTGGTCCAAAGACTTATCCCCAAACAGGGCTGTAACCTGGGACTATGGATCCAGTCTGGCACTGTGGTGGGCCTCAAAGCTCAGTCTGAGGCTATCAGGATTGAGGTAGGTCTAGTGTTGGGATCTGAAGCAAATTTCACTGCTCACTTCACCCTCCAAACCCTATTCAGAAGATATTTCTCCCCACACTGTGTTTCCTGGTATTGGGTGATCTAGATAAATTAAAACTATCATTCCTGCCCTCTCTGGTGCATCTTTTGTTATGTCTGTGCTACACCCACATGATGAAATCTCTTACCTGATTCCCTTAGCTCTTGTGAAAGTGTATGATTTTATATGAAGAAACAAGTGCTAAACAGTCCTCTTACATCATCTTGTTGATGTCAGTAGACCAATTTGAAACTTCTAATTATTAGAATACACAACCCATAACACACATAAGAATTATAGTAATTTGATTATAGTAATTTCTACCAATTAAAGTATGAATAGTATAGTTACATTACATTAAATTATTTTTAAAAATTACTTATTTAATTTTATTTATTATAATTACTATTACATTTTAATTTGCTACAGGTACTTGTGCTCATCAATGAGAGAAAGACAGAGAGAGAGAGAGAGAGGCAAAGTGAGAAAGCAAGCTGCCAGTCTTGGATTTGAACTGGAGTAAACCATGTAGGGGTCCAGGTCATTGACAATGAGTAAGTCCAGTGCATTACCACCATGCCACCTGCTAGCCCTTAACATTGCATGACTTTAGAAAGATAATTGGTTTGTTGATGATAATGTGTATAATATCATCAACTGGACTGCTGTGAAGTGTATTCATGTTGGATAAATTCACTTTACAGGCTAAGTGATGCATAGTAACTGAACGTATAAAGTCAATTAAAATTAAAAAAATCAATAAATTAAACATAGAAACCTTAATGTGTTAACATAAAGAGTTAAAATATAATACATGCATAATTTTACCTTTTTTATTATTAAAATGGAACCTCAAAATGGAAGTGCTTAGGACCTCTCTCTATGAGAGATGTTTCAGTTAAGTGATCTGATTCCCAAGCCAGAGGCCAACTGTCAAACCATGCATTCTTTATAATTTGCCCTGATAACAGTATTATAATGACCATTAGGTCTGGGCTCAGAAAAGACAGAAAAAAATTCAGAATGTCAGATCTGGGAAGCACCTAGATGTCATCTGATCCACTTTTCTTATTTATTGGCTCAGAAAACTAAAGGAACAGAAAGGAGTTGCTAGTCTTCTATTTACAGTTTGCAATGTTTAACAACTGCAAACCACTTCTCTATACCTCCTGCATTTGTCAACATTGTTTCTGTGGCTAAAAAATGACCAAGCAAAGGGCTCAAACACCAGAGGATTCAATAGTCTTCACTTTCTCTTGGCACCAAACCTTTTTCATGGCATTCTTCATGTCTGTATTTCTCAGCGTGTAAATAAGGGGGTTAAACATGGGGGCAATCATGGTGTAAAATAGAGCAAATACCTTGTCATCACTGACAGAATCAGCCATGGGCACATAGGTGAAGATGAGGGGTAAGAAGAACATGGGCACTACAGTGATATGTGAGCCACAGGTGGAAAGGGCTTTGCGACAGCTGAGCGGGTCCTCAAGGTTATCAGGATGATGATGTAAGAAATTACCAAGGCAACAAAGGTCAAAATAGACAACACTCCTGTGGTGGCAATGATGGTAATAATAAAAACTCTAGTGTCAGTACAGGCCAGCTTCAGCAAGGGAAATATATCACAGAAATAGTGGTCTATCTGATTGGGGCCGCAGAATGGAAGCTCAGTAACAATCAATACTTGCAAGAGGGAGTGGATAAATGCTCCGATAACAGAGGCCAGAACCAAGACATAGCATGCCCGTCTGCTCATGATGATCACATAGTGAAGGGGTTTGCAGATGGCTGCATAGCGGTCATAGGCCATGGCCACCAAGATGAAGATCTCAGTGGCACCAAAAAAGTGGGCATAAAACATCTGGGCTATGCAGCCATTGTAGGAGATGGTGTTCCACTGGGACAGCAAGTCCGTGATTAGTTTGGGGGCTACAGTGGAAGTGAAGCAGACGTCCATGAAGGAGAGGTAGCTGAGGAAGAAGTACATGGGCTGTTCACTGAGGTGGCTGCCCCTGATGGTGAGCAGAATGAGCAGGTTTCCTGAGAGAACTAGAAGATAGCAAAGCGAGAACAGCACAAAGCAGGTGACCTTCACATCCTCATCACTGAAAAGTCCCAGGAGGATAAATTCTGTGACATTTTCATGTTTCATTGCTTCTGTGGGTTGGATAATTTGGATCTATTAATACATATACTTGAAATGCTAGACTTCTCCTGAAATTTTTTATTCATTTTCAAAATCATCTATTTAATTAATACATATTGTTTATTATGATTCAATCAGTATATTGGTGATTGTGGTATAGAAATGAATAAAATATGTACAACATATACTCACATATAGTGTGCAGTTCTTAGAGGTGACACACAATAATAATGATAAGGTAAATATCAAGTAAATGTAATAAACTATGAAGTCTCACACTTACTATGAACAGGGTACAAAGAATTTAAAAATTAAACATGTTTTAAGTTCAATGTTAACATGTAATATTGGTATTATATATGAGATGTGCTTTTAAATCTTCCCAATATATAAAACAGCCATAAAGTTATCCGTGGTTCAAGGGTAGTAAGGGCATAATAAACTCAGTATTTCCCAGTGACTAAAACTGTTCTAAATCCTGAAAGTTCAGTAAGGTCCTTGAGCTTCAGTGGGCTCATTACTTTAAGTACAGAAACTCTGGGCAACAAACTCAGAAAGTGCCTTAAGAAGAGAATGGAGGAGAAGGGATTGTGGCATGACCATCCCCCCCGGGGGGTGATTTCTCGCTTTCTGTCTCTATGTCTCTCTCTGTCTGTCTGGTGAGTGCACGTGCCCTATAGTGAAAAAACCTCTCCAAAAAAAAAAAAGGGAAACTTGGATGGAAAACCAGTTTTTGTATGCTGTGACAATGATTAGCAGATGAATGCAAATTAATTAATTTAAAAAAAGTTTCAGGAGAAAAAATCATGAAAACTATTTTTCATGAAATTTTAAAAAATGTATATTTGAGGACTGCAGTAAGCTATATAGTCCCAGTTGGGTGCTACTTTGTAGTATGTTCATGCTACTCACTGAGGTTTATGCCTAGGGTCAGATTTGTGTTTATGGATATGTATATATCAACTACTCTTGCTATTGGAAGTATTTAGATTAATTAAGTTCATTAGCGAATAAATAAAATGGGGATAAAAGGCATAGAAAGCAACCATGGATACCAGAGACAGTGTGGGAAGAGGGTGGGACACAGTAGAGGGTGAGAGATAGAGAATCAAGAATGGCAAAAATAACAAAATATACAGGAAACAGGAAATGGAAAATTGTTTGTTGATGATAACACGTATATTGATGTGCTTGATTGAGCCAATATACAGTGTATTCTGTATGGGAAATCTCATTTTATTTGATGTGATGATGTATAGTGAATGAATATACATAAATAAATTTGAATAAAAAATATAGACAGAATAAAGCAAATCTTAGAAGAAAAATGTTTCATTTCATGGCTTTTCAATACAGTATGACTTCCTGGAGTTTACCTTCCCAGTTTACTTTCCAATCTGATCCCTGAATTCTCATTATTTTCATCCTTTAGTCATATTTTCAACTTTTCTTTTTATGACAGCACTCTTGGAAGAACAAATCATATCCAGAGATTTTTAATTATTTTTTCACTTTATCTGTTTTTGCACCTTGTATCTCTTTTAATTGAATCACAGTTTATCCTTACTAGGCTTACTACACTATCATCAGACCAACTCTTTCTTAGAATGTTTCAGTTAAAAAGGAAATTTGTTTTGTTGTCAAATACTATAATACATCTCTTATTTTATTTTCTTCAATGAGTACCAACCTTATCTAAAATGTATCACAATAATGCAAAACTCAAGGGTTTGTTTTAAAAAGAAAAAGATAAACCATTATATATTGATAAAAAAATATGTAAGCATGCTTGTGAAGGAGTAAAACAGCAAAGGTAATAGCAATATTTACTATTACAAATAATAATAGTAAATCAGTGTGATATATTATTATTATTGAAAACTAGAGAGTAGCCTAAATGTGTTAAATGAATCCATACAGCACATCTAACTTGTATAAAGCTTTAAAAATACATTGTTGAGCAGAAAACATAAGGTGCACAAATATGATCATGCCTACATTAACGCACACATATACACATCCCCAAAGAATGCCAAGTACTTTCCAAGTAGTTTCCATGAATAGATTGTGTTTAAAAAGCAAAAAAGGTGGAGTGAAATAAAATATATATTTGTAGGAAACTAAAAGGGGTGGTGACCAAAGGGAACTATAATTAAAATACAATATTTTGATTTTTTAAAGACATTTTAAAATAAGATGTGTAAAAAAAACATTTTAAAGTCACTCTTTTTTAATAGGCTTAAGAACAGTCCATTACACAGTATATGAAGTTTAAAAAAATAAATCACAACTATTGTCCTTCATTGGGATTCATAAATCATCTTCATTTATTTCCCTGTTTTTTTCGCAATCACCTGGCATTTAAATGAATGTAGATGTACATGCAATTCCCTAAGCATCATATTATGTAAATTGTCATATAAAATGAAATATCTCTAGATAGAAGCATCTCTGTTCTTCTTACACCACCAAATAGAAATGTGTTCCAAATTAATACCATTGTTTCATCTCTTTTACAAGTGTATCTGGAATTTTGTTGTTGTTGTTGTTAATATTGCCATAGCATGCATGAGATTGCCAGAGTGAGATAGAAAGAGAGACAGGGAATGTAAGAAATAACTCCCTGCCCCATAGGGTGGATGGCCATAACCACAGTCCCTTCTTCTCTATTCCCCTTTTGGGATTTTGGGCATGTATTCACATGAGCCTGGCATAGTTTTCAAGCTTCCGGGTCCAGAACTGAAACTGTACAGTTGGCCATGTAAGATCCAACCACCCTAACCACCACATGACTGACTGGCCCTGGATTTGATTTTACATAAGCTATTTTGATCAACTGGACTGAGATATGTTTATATTGAAATGTTCACTTTGTTAGCTAAATAATGTGATTGAATGTATAAAAAATTTTAAATTAATTAATTAATTAATTAAAATATAAAAAGAAAGTATAACTCACACATTGGGCACAAGTGCTCAGGATTCTGACTGAGGCAGGGGGTGGATTGCCCCATGAAGACTGTAATCAGGATGCTTCTCTATCAGACAAAAAAGAAGAGCATAAACAAAATTTTTACAAAACATATTAACCTCCTTATATTTAAAAATTCTAAATAGGATTTGAATAAATTTCAAGATAATATTTTATATCTGATAGCTGATATTCAGGACTCTGTTTATAATTTTTTTTCAGGATCTCTTGTTTTGCTGAGCTAATACATCTCCTATATTGGGTCACTGAAAAAGTCATGATGCATTTTTAGATAGAAAAACATATCATGACTTTTCCAACTACCCAATAATTTTAAAGGAAGGAGAAAATAGATTTGTAACAAACCAAAAAGGAAGCTGCATATGTGGAAATGGATGTGCAAAATGTTACCAGACACTGATGTGTGTGCACTAATTACGTATCCCACTCTATGTAAAACTTATGATCACCTAAAATTGTCTTCTCTGGAAGGCACAGAAAGGATACTAATGTTCATAGCAACTCACCATGACTTCTGAAAAGAAAAAAAAGAAGGAAAAAATATTCAGCCTCTGGTTTTCAGGGTCAACTTGGCTTCTTTGGTCTCAAAGAAAGGTTTTCCTTAGGAAAAAAAAAAAAGACTAATATTAAGCTCCTAATATATGATTGTTAATTGTATGCATTAGGAAGTCAAATTAGCAAGGAAAGTGAAGGTGCCTTAGTTAGTCCAAATAGGTTCAAATACATTAATTAATTGATTAATTATTGAAGAATGATAAGCAAGTTACTTAACTTCTGACCCTTGATTTCCTCACCTATAAAACAAAGACAATGATACCTACCACATAGAATTCTTGTGAAAATCAAATGAAAATATCCATGTAAAACACATAGGTATAGATGTGTGTACATAAAGCATTGCAGTAAGTATATATGTATTAGTATTTTATTATTAATTTTTAAAAACTAAAATTCTGTAAGTTTGTAAGATATTTGTTAAAAAAAAAAAGTTGTTCTAAGAAAATAAATTTTCTTCAGTGAGTTTAGCATGCCTCTGATTGTAGTGTTCTCAGGAGGTTGAAAGGATTTCAATTACTACTCTCTACTGAAAATCCCAAACAAAAAGAATCTGAAGAAGATAGTATTTCCCATTTCACAGATGGAATAACTTATGTAAAGATAGCAAGTTGATTCAAAAAAAACCTCACGTACTCTACAAAGATCATCTCTCTTTCATACTTGAATCAAACAAGTCTAGAAAGTAATCAGTTTATCCTTATACTCTACTGAGAATATTTTGTAGTTCTGTGAAGGATAGCCATTTATGCAAGAATAAACATTTATTTTATAGTTTCAAATTCCTCAACTATAATCACAAAAATTTCCCTCTACATACCGCATTCAATTTAATGTCAGGGATGGCTGTAAATTCTTACATAACTATGAAATACTAAGGCAGGAAATGACATCTTTATCTTGATATGCCACTGCCATTATGCAATTTAAGAAAAATACCTAAAATTCTATGCACACTTAATCTTTTCTTTTTGAATCAAAGATCCTTTATTTATTTATATATATATATATTTATTATTCACACTTAATCACTATACATCTTTACATGGGGCAATATGGTTTTTCTCAGCACTAATACAGTATCAGTCAAAAAAGACATGGCCATATACATTATAATCAGCAAATAACTTTTCATTTCTGTATCAATAAAATGTATTGTTTATTTTTTTCACTCTTAGAAATTTAGGAAGTGTACTTTTCATGGCCTCGTCCATCTGGGAAAAACTGTTTTAAAACTTACGATCTCGGGAACCAGCAGTTAGTGTAATGGCTATGTTGCTGGACTCCCACGTAGTCGAACGCGGTTCGTGTCCCGGACCCAATGGCTTAAAACTCATGCCGGACGCATGTGCGTGCGTGCCCAAGATCCTAAGAGGAGAATGGAGGAGAAGGGATTTTGGCGTGACCATCCCCTCTGGGAGGTGATTTCTCGCTTTCTGTCTCTATGTCTCTCTCTGTC